ATTTTGTATTGTTATAGAAGCCAATTTCAGTTGCTTTTAGTCCAACTCCGAGAAGAAATATAAAGTTTTTCGAGTAAACCGAACTAAAATAAAACATTATTATGAAAATGGTTAAATAGTATGGACTTAAATAACTGAAGGAATACGTTTAAGTACATCACCGCCTATAAAATAATCTCTGTCTGAAGACCGAAAAAAATCTTCACGTCATGGAACAAAAGGAATTTCATTATGATATGGCACAGGAAATAACATAAAAATAAATTGCATGTTGGGGAAATTTGAAGTAAAATAAACAAAAAAATAATACATTAAACTTCGATGAAAAATAGCACTGCTTTTACTATGTGAGGATGAAATGCCGGAGGCATGTAACGCGAAACAAAGCAAAACTTTAGATTACCCTGCATTGGATTAAAAAGAAGTAAAACAAGGCACGAGAAATCAGTAGCATATAGCAAATGATGTTGCATTGGTCAGAATGATATTACTACTAATACTGTATATATATATGCCATATATATATATATATATATATATATATATATATATATATATATATATATATATATATATATATATATATATATATATATATAGGGTGCGACGGGTTAATTATCACCAATTTTTAAAGTTCGCGCATGCGCGTAGTTTGTTTTCGATTTTGTTGAATGCACAGTATAATAGTGTCAGTTGGGCAACATCTGTGAGAAAAAGAGCACCATGACACAATTCACACAGCCAGAAATTTGGAAACGACATGCTGTAGTGCTTGGCTTCAATACGAACATTTTAGAGTTTTTTGGGTGTAAATCTGAGGACAGTGCAAAGGATTCAGAATGAGTTGAATGATATATCCAGCCAACATCAGTCTGTTTGGTATGATCGCGAGTGAAGGCGACGTTATGCCTCTCTATGCATGTATGGAAGCCTAAATCAATCACATTGAGAACGTTGCGCTGATCTAGATCAAGAAGGTAGATCCTATGTCTAAGAACAGGTCAGTGCACTTTGCCACACAAGCAGGTGAACCCAGTGATGGCAGTCAGATAATTTCTGCGACCACATCACCCCTCGCATCTGGCCGTTTAACTCTATGTTACATATGTGTATGTACTGATTCCTTGTAATGGGACGGTATATGTGTGCGTGTGTGTGTGTGTGTGTGTGTGTGTGTGTGTGTGTGTGTGTGTGTGTGTGTGTGTGTGTGTGTGTGTTCACTGATTCCTCGTAGTGAGACAGTGTGTATGTATGGAGAGGGGATATACACATATATACACGCATGCTAACAAAAACACGAAAATGGAAATAGATCTAAGATCACACAGGGGTCATTAAAAGATAAGAATGCCGATAACTACTTTATTTCTCGGACCAATCTTAATTATTTTATAACCCTTCATACAGAACTCTTCACTGCCAGTTCAAGAAAGACATTTGGGTTACTAACACAGAGAAAAAGAATGTCTCATATCGAGAATATTTAACATCGAAAAACATAAAGGAAAAAAATGATTTATTTTTAATAATATGTTGAAATCTCCACCTTTTCCTGATGACGGTCAAGAGACCAGAAACACGTGTAGCAAAATTCCGGAAAATAAAGCGTAATATTTTTTTTTTAAATCTACATTACAACCTTTATGGTTTATCTCTTCTTATATATATATATATATATATATATATATATATATATATATATATATATATAATATATATATATATATATATATACAAACACATACACAAACACACACACACTGGCATACACATATAGTGAAACCATTCTATTTTGCATACTTCTACATACATGTACATCTGTACATGGCCATCGATATATACCTGTGGATACATAAGCACACATACATATATAGAAGAGAAACTTTTTTATATGTGTACATCTACACACATATTCATAAATACAAATATTTATATTTACCTGTGCACACAGGCATACATCCGTACAGACATCCTCACGCACATACGTACATAATTTCTCATAACAATATATATATATATATATATATATATATATAATAGGAAATAATAATGAGATTTATAATTCCGAGTTCTTAGCATTTATTTATATTTTTAAAAACAGTGTTCAATACAACAGTAGCGCATAATATTATAATTGTTTTTTTTTTTTAAATATATCATCATAGCAACACCGTGGTATCCATTCGGGTACATTGGGATACCTGGTTTTGAGTAAGCCAAATAGAGCTAAATTAATTAATAATAAATAAACGGAGAGCCTACTGTAATTATTAATTAATTAATAAATAAACTACTTAAATAAGTGTATCCACTAAAAAATAACGTTTACCTAATAAAATATGTCAGATTAGTAATGAAAAAATCCATTCCTAAAAATTGTTTTGTTTAGGTTAGTATACGAAGCTGAGCAGAACCATTTATTTTCCATCGGGAAATCTGTATTTAAAAGCACTATTCGGACTTAGCTTGGCCATCTGGACCTCTGTTGCCGAGAGGTCAAAACTCGTCACACACACACACACACACACACACACACACACACACACACACACACACACATGCACGCGCGTGCGCAAACACACACATATTGTCTATCTGGGCAGTAATCATTCTTTGGTACAGGTTTCATTAAAGTTGCCTAAGAAGGTACCGTGTTTAGCAGAGGCCGATATGTAATCATATGTTTTCTCAAGGGTATCTACGCCTAAGTGAATGGAACGAACCTGACTGGAATTCGCGTACAGCTCTCCCATTCCTCCCATTCCTCATTCTAAGCCGCTATCCGTTTCGTCAGAACGCACTACTTCTTTTATATGCCGTGTCTCTTCAGGACGTGGGTGATAATGGATCTCGTTAAACTATCTTTTATTTCTTTAAATAAAATTTGTCTGCTCAGCTTTGCGTATTGTCCATGTTCTTTTATCCACTTACACAATCCCATAAGGTAAGTTATTTGTTGTTTCCTCCTATTTCTCATCCATTTTAATATAATCTGTTGCTGTTTCATTTTGTTTTTAATCATTTGACTCCAAGCAAGACACTAATGCCACTAAGTCGCAAGGGGATTACATAGAGTGAGAGAGAAGACATTAGTGAGGAAAAGCACAATAAGAAACAGGATGACAGTAGACATTGCATTTAAAATTTTGTAGGGGGTAGGGGACCAAGAAATCTGAAGAGAGTTTCACAGGCGAGAAGTTCGAGTAATGCAACTGAATAGAACACGCATTTACATCTACCAGGCTCGACAGTAAAATCTAGTTGTCAATCTAGTGGCACGCTTAGGTTCATGCAGTCGAGGTAGGTGCTAATGCTTATTTTCCATGTACATATTAGTAGATATGGCAGAATGAAGCCACGTCTCGTAGATGAGAAGTGACTGAAGTCGAGGTCCTAAATCACGTGCTACCTTGACCCGCCAGCTCTCAAGATCTTGGAACATTCCACTATGCCAGATTAATCTGCTGCATATCCTGGTGAACTACGTCCTTCTAGCGGTTGTATGATCTGCCGCCATGTTGTTGCCAGTTTGCAGATGGCGTGTTGAAATAGTATATAACTCTCTTATTGTGTTCATCTGCTCGTCGCAGAATGGCCAAGCCAGTGAACACAGCGCCGAGAGATAGTGCGGGGTATGCTCGTCTCGCCGTACTTCCAAACAATATACCCTGTCAGTATTAAATTCACTGGCCACCCTTTCCTCATTATATATCCCGGAATTTTCCTTTTCCCTTTCTGATTGTTAAGTATCAGTTACCATTTAGATCCTATATTCTCTCAAGTTTTCCGATTTCTCAAGAGTTCTTTTCATGTTATTCTCAGCATTCGTCGGTAGAAACACATCTGTCGCTTCAATTCTCATTTTCAACTGTGATGAGATTGTTAAGCACCGGTTTATCGATAGTAGATTAGCTATTACATAACAGTTAATCAATCTTTTCTTTGTTTCTAACGGCAAAAAAATGTTTCATTGTCATCATTTATTTCTCGTTTAAGGACGTGGGCGATCATAGCTCTTCACAAATCCAGTCTTTTGTAGATGTAGCGATATCAGTTGTCAGCTGATATCTAAAGTAGACATCTACAGGTTATGTTAAATAATAAATTTAGCAGATTATATTTTTTATAAATGTTGGTTTCACTCTCTGTGAATGAATGCAAAACAATTTCTCCCCATGCCCCCTCCCCACTTTTATAGGCAGAAGCATACAAAGGCATTCCGGATTTTTTTTTTTGTAGCTAATAAAATACGCCGGTTCGCGGTTTCATATGATTCAGTCCATATCTGTCGTTTTAGGCGATTCGTGCTGACTTGTCGAAATTTCTGTCTTCGGGCAGAGAGGAAACCAGACGAGGCTACGCTGAAGGGCAGAGTCACGTCTGGGGAAGTAGACAAGCCCGAGTCCGTGTATGCGGGGTCTACGGAGAATTTCTGTCCAAACCAACGGACACGGATTCGCTCCACATAAAAATACGGCCTTGCGTTAGATTCTGCCTTGTAAATAAGCACAGTCCCAGTCTTGTCTCGAAAAAAACTACACTTGCTTGTCTGAAAATTCTTTTGTGTGCCGATATTAATTCTTAGTTTAAGAACATTTTTGCCTTATTACAATTGCTTTGCGTTATTACTGTAAATATGCCTCGCATATTTTTTTTGCTTGCTTATATTATTTTTTGCCCTGTTCTTTTATTTTCTTGTTATGGCTTATTGCAAACTTTGTCGATTCTGTTTGTTGGACAGTTATGTTACTTATCTTACATTTGAATATGGCCACTAACTCCACAACAATGTAAAATAAATTACTGAAGGGAGAGCTGAAGTAGATAGATGACTTGTTGTCCCTTGACCTTTAATGTGTGGCACCAGATATACTGAAAAGTACAATTAACATAGCAACAATGACGATGATAATAATTGTCATATAGTCTCTCAGAACGAACACATTAGTGGAGGAATAACGAGCTTGTCAATGGTGTTGACAAAGAAGAAGACTTAAAACCACTGATGATGTGATAATTTTGTTGCAGCGTAAAGAGAGAGAGAGAGAGAGAGAGAGAGAGAGAGAGAAGAGAGAAAGTCGCCGAGTTCTTTAGTGAAGAATCCAACTGACAAGGATACCATAGAGAGATAGTCACAATAATTGTATCGTCGCTTCATTCTCAAGTGATTAAATCTTGATTGCCAGACATAACTGCTACCACTCCAAATATCCATAGTCATTTTTTTTTTTTTGCCTGTCTGGTTGGCTGCTTGTTGTTCATCTAGTCTTATGACAGGCTGTTTATTTGATCACCTGGTTCAGATGGTCTTTATTATTTTTCATTTATATGTATTCACACACACACACACACACACACACACACACATACATACATACATGTATATAAAATAATAAACAAAATAAGTGACGTAACTCTTCCAATATTTTTCAACACTTAGAGAAGAGTGTGATTTAAGAAAAGGAAAAGACACAGTATTTTATAATGTTCAACAATATTTCGACGGTAGGTCTGTCTTCTTCAAATTATGTTTAAAAATTGTATACAAGTATAAAAATATGAAAAAAATATTCTACAAAACATTATAAGTGTGTTTGACTAATTCGTCTTGATAACTAATCAATTGACTGAAAAATTCAAGATGAGCACGATCACCATCCCTATTGTGCACGTTTCAGTTGCATGCCGTTCACGCTCGTTTTGGCGCGTTGATTACCAGTACAGTACAAGACAAGTGAAATTTACAGAAAGAATTATATTTTTTGTAAATTTTTATGTAGTATTTTGAAAAAAAAACAGTCTTTTCTTTTCCTTAAACCGCATTCTTTAAGTATTGTTAATAATAATAATAATAATAATAATAATAATAATAATAATAATAATTATTATTATTATTATTATTATTATTATTATTATTTTATATTATTAGGCCATTACAAAAATACAATCATGAGAAAAATTTTGAAAATTGGAATTTTGGGACACTCTTGTCCTTTCTCAACGAAATATAAGATAACGTTGGACGTTCTTTGGGAAAGAGGTTTGTTTTCCGCATATCTAGTTCCATCCATTTGAATGTTCCTGAAAATAATTGGATGATTGACCGCAGTATAGAGGGCACAATAAGATTATATATATATATATATATATATATATATATATATATATATATATATATATATATATATATATATATATAAATATATATATATATATATATATATATATACACACATATATATATATATATATACACACATATATATATATATATATATACATATATGTATGTATATATATATATATATGTATATATATATATATATATATATATATATATATATATATATATATATATATATATAGATAGATAGATAGATAGATAGATAGATAGATATGATTTTGGATCGACATCTACCTGCATAATATGGTTCGGTTTTCTATACCGGCGAATTGTGTGTGATCATATATTTTGACTCATTTTAAAACATTTCTCCATCATGGTAAATTTATATAAATAATTCACCTGTTATATATTTGCGATAAATTTATTATCTGTACTCAAGTGTTGGAATCCAACACTGTATACAGATATTGTATTAAAAAAAAAATCATTTACCGCTTAGACGTCATCAACACGGCAAAAATTATACTATGAATTTGATCGAAATAAAACGACAAGCAATGAATTCTTTTCAAGATGACTCAGAGAAATATTTTCTTAGTCGTCTTCTGAATGCACACCACTTACTAATGCCAGCGTCTCTTGCAATACGATGTGTCAGGCATCAACGCTGAATTTTCTATCTGTTTATCTGTCTGCAAAACGTTGTTTAGATTCTGGTATTTTGTCGGTCTGTTAGTCTACGACCCAGACATTCTGTTGTGTTTTGTTATATGTCTAAAGATCAGCACGTTTCCCTGTCTGCTTATTTTATTCCCGCTGTCTTCCATTTTTTTTAACTCTATTCGGAGCGCTCTGAAAAGAATTCACCCTCATGCCATAAATGAATCGTATCCCTGCTTTTGCAGCCTCCTGCCATAAAGCGTGTTCACAGCTTAATAACCTGATCGCAAGACTTTAACTCTGGTTTTCTTCTTTCTTTTGGCCTCATTATTTTGAATGTTTTAGTTAACCAGGCTCGTTTTGGATTCCTTAAGTGAAATATATTTTTTAAAATGTATGTTTGTGTCTATCTACGTGATTGACAGCGATTTTTGCCTTTGTGCCCATGAAGAAATTTTCATTCATCTAAATATTAAAAATTCCAACCTCTATTTGATAATACGTGTATGAAATAAGAAAGCCAAGAATCTAAGTATTATAGTGAAATAATAATAGTAAAATAATACGAATAAATTTTGTATAGTTTTTTTCACATTTATAGAGAAAAAGGCTTTTTTTTCACTCTTACTTTTTATTCCGCGCTTATTTCATTATTTTTTTTAACTTTCCTTGAATTTTTCTTATTTTTCCTTTTCTTTTCATTCAGCTTTGTGTTCCCGCTTTTTTTCTTTCTTTTTTTTTGTTTTCTTGCTGTTTTACTTTCATCTGTTTATTGTTTCATTTTCTCTTTGTCTTCGTTATTTCTCTATTTCTTTCATCTTTCTTTCTTATTTTCTTTCCTTCTTTCTTTTCCGCTCTTATTTCCTCATTTTTTTTTCTTTTACGGTATTTTTCTTTGTTTTCTTTTCTTTTGATTCATCTTTATTTCTACCGTCTCCTTCCTTCCTTCCTTCCTTCCTTCCTTCCTTCCTTCCTTCCTTCCTTCCTTCCTTCCTTCCTTCCTTCCTTCCTTTTATTCGTCCTTGGGTACACCTTTTACTGTTTCGTTTTTTTTCTGCTTTCAATATTACTTTCTTTCTTTTTTTTCCCGCTCTTATTTCGTTATTTTCTTGAACTTTTATTATTTTTTTTATCTATTCTTTTTTTTTTTCATTCGTCATTATTTCTCATCCTTTTTTGTCTTATTTCTTCATTTTTCTTTCTTTTCCTATATTGTATCTTCACTTTCATGACTTTCGTTTTTTCTACTTTTATTTATTTGTGTTTTTCATTTACACTTCGTTTGCCATCTCCTTTCTTTTATTTCTTTTGTTCTTTACCTCTTTTCTTTTCTGACTTTCTTTCTTCCTTTCTTTCTTGTACGTTTTCTTTTTTCTATTTATTCATCCTGTTTCTTTCTTTCTTTTCACTCTTATTTCTTTATTTTTGTTTCGAACTTTTATTATTTTACACTTTATTTCGTTTCTTTTCGTTCATTTTTATTGCTCACCCTTTATTTTTCGTCTAATTATTTTTCCTTTCTTTCTTTTCTCCTCAGGTTTCTTCACTTTCCTTATTTGCCTTTATTTTCTACTTTTTATATATGTCTTTTCATTTACACTTCTTTTACTCCCTTTGTTTGTTTTTTCTTTCTTTCTTTCTTTCTTTCTTTTACATTTCCTTTTTTCTTTTCATTCATCTTTGTTCTTTCCTTCTTTTTCCCTAATGTTTCTTCATTGTTTTCTCTTTATTATTTTCTATTTTGCGTTTATTTTATTTTCAATTACCATCCTTTTGCCTTCTTTCTTCCTTTTGTTTGTTTGTTTCTTTCTTTCTTTCGTTTTTTCTATTTATTTTATATTTCTCCTTCTTTTTATTCATCATTCTTTTCCTTTCTGTTTTAAATAGCTTTACGTAAATATTTTACTACTGTTTCTCTTCATATACCAAGGAATTGTATTTAATGAATTTACATTTTCCTCATCCCTTACCGTTTAAAATTTCAAAGCAAAATATATTTTCCTTTTCTATCAATTATTTTAGCAAATTACATTATCCTTCTTTTCCCATTCTATTTCTTTCTTCACTTCTCCCTTCTTCAGCCTAAACAAATCTTATATAAATATCAAAGAATTTAGTCTCCGTTAATTTCGTTTCTTTTTATAAAATACCGTGTTTGTTTGTCTTTATTTCCATTTTTCTCCTCTTTCTTCTTTTCTTCCTTCGGCCTCAGCTTCATCTCAGAATTATTGAATATTCTAATGTATCTTCCATTTTCTCACTATTTATTTTACTTCGCATTTTCACGAATACTACAAAATATTTTCACCTTGTAATACCAATTTCTACCTTTCCCCACTTTGGTCCTACATTTTGAAGAGATGAATTTTCTTGAGAACAAACCCAACACAATCCTCAAACCCACTATCCAATCATTGCCAACCAAATTCTCCACTTTCCCTACCTTTTCCGTCCCTCCACTGCACCCTTCCCGACTATTGTTATGTGCCATCTTCGGGGAAGCCATCTTTTTCGCAGCGAAAATAAAAACATGCAACGTTGTAGTTGTGACGTTAATGACTTCCGCACAGGTTCGTAGACCTTTTGTGTTGCAGCAAGGAAATAGGACCTTCATTACTTTAATTCTAATCCAAGAATTCCCCACCACTGTGATTTGAAAATACCCCGCTATTATTGACGCTTGATTCATTACACAAAGGCATGTCACCCGAGGCAGAAAAGTTAATGCTGAGCGTTCAAGTTCCTGAATTAGGAATACCAAGTTGAATCAAGCCCCGGTATACGCACATAGGATGAGACACTGATGCCGGATGACGATGTCGGGTAAATAGCATTGTGGAGGGTTTCACGTAGGGGAAACAATGCTAATCAATAAGTAGATGGGTAGCGTTTAATTGGGAAAAAGTTTTGGTGCATTACTAAAAATATACATATGTATATTATATATATATATATATATATATATATATATATATATATATTGAAAGGTAGTTGTTTATATATATATATACATGTATATACACACCTATATATATATATATCAACATAGTTTCTAGAGGCGTATAAACATACACATTCACTCTTGTCTCTCACTATATATATATATATATATATATATATATATATATATATATATATATATATATATATATATATATATATACATATATGAATATATACATATATATATATATACATATATATATACATATATATATATATGTCAGCATTTAAATATATATATACATACATATATATATATATATATATATATATATATATATATATATCAGCATACGTTTCTAGAAGCGTACAAACACACACATCTCTCCCTCTCTTATATATATATATATATATATATATATATATATATATATATATATATATATATATATGTGTGTGTGTGTGTGTGTGTGTGTGTGTGTATGTGATAAAAATATAGTTTTATGGCATGCTATTTTTAATTTATTCGATTTATATTGAGTGAAATTGCTCTATATCAGGGATAGAATATATATATATATATATATATATATATATATATATATATATATATATATATATATATATATATATGTGTGTGTGTGTGGATGAAAACATGTAAGAGAAAGTAATTGGATGATGAAGATGCTGACATTATATATTATTTCAAATAAAAGCTTAGGAGAGAGAGCCCGTCAATACTGAAAAGAGTGATAACAGGGCCTGGACTTGAAAAATATATTATCCAGAAAAATTATTTTAAGAGGAAGATTTTATGATTTGAACCGAAAGCCGATCTGGCTGCTGAGTCAACGAATACCAACTGTTATCTTGAAAGTAAATGGCTAATATTACCATTGTTATCTACTTAATTTCGTATCTGGACCGTAAATAAAGTAATTCTTAAAACTAATGAATTTCTGATATTTTTATTACTGCAAACGATATTATACGGGAAAATCTTATATGAAACAGACATTTTTAATTTGAAAACAGTGGGTATGTCCTCGACCGGCCTGTGCATTCGTCAAAATCTTAGCGATGAAAATATATTCTCTGGCTTCCCTATTAAATATGTTGATTGAAAATTCCAGAGAACTTATTAAAGTCAAAACTGCATTTGGCTAGGCGGCGAACTTTGAATCCACGTAACAGAGATCACGAAGAGTCATGCATTGATGTTAGATATTGATATTTCACATATAATCAATCTATTTCCCGCACTCGTTGTTTGGGCATTATTTGCCGCGCGGCTTGTTCGCTTCTTTTGTTGTGTGCATTCTTAAATGTTGCTGCCTGAAATATGGATTAGAAACATCATTTAAATGAATCCATCTTTAATTTAAAATCAAAATGGATCTATAACAAAAACTTTATTAAATCCCATATTACCATTTATTTCACAATTTCCCACTAACACCTTTCACACATATCTCATATTCCATCAGTCAGGTATGTGCCATGCGTGATACACGCATAGGCGATCATGTATCTTTCGATACATAACTGACTAGGCAGATTTTTTCTCGCAGTAGAGTGCCATTTTTTTCTGCCGTAGACCAGTTGCCACTGAAGGTTATTTACCCATAACTGGAGGTGGGGAGAAGAAGAGGATTCATACCTTTCCCAAGGGTATTAGCATGTAAGTGAATGTAATGGATTCGACTGGAATTCGAACTAGGCTCACCGATTCCTCAATCCGAGCCGCTATCCATTGAGGAATCGGAGAGTCTCATATTCCAAAGAATGTAAATAAATAATCTTGACATTTCAATTTTATCCAAATTTACTTTTTTTAGCGGCACAAATATTTTCTACGATGAAATTTATTTTTGTGCAAGTGTTTACCTCGAGGTATCGCATTTTCACACAGTATAGCCATTATTGATTTTGTTTATAGCTTTGAACCTTCCGAATCTCAAAACAACATATATTTACTTCCTGAGCATTAAAATATTCATTATGATATTTAAATTGAGCGTCGGATATTCAAAAAGATTTTCAATCAATAAACTCAACGTTAGTGAATCTGTTATTAATTTAGTAAAAACTAGCAGTAGAGCCCGGCGTTGCCCGGGGATATAACAGTAAGAGATAGATCAAGTATCCATCATCATAAAGACTGAAAAATAAAATTGACAAAGATTATAGTTTAAGGTTGACGGACACGCATGTCTTAATTTTTTTTTTTTTTTTTTTTTTTACGAATTGGTCAAACTCAAACAAAACATTGTTTACAATCGTTATGACTCTATCGATTGATGAATAGAATTTTTTATAAACAATTGTCTTGTAAATGGAATTTTTAAAGCATTCTGAATGTATAAATAAAGAAAAAGTGTGCAAGACAATAAACACTACCTGCCAAAAAAGAAAATGGATGTTTGTTTTATCGGCTGAAAAATGTAAGAAACCGATCCCATATACAAAGGAAACACACACACACACACACACACACACACACACACACACACACACACACACAACCAGTTTTTTTTTAACCTGATCTGAGTTGTCCCCTTTCATTTTCACGATGTGTCTTAATCGTGTTTTCAAATTGATTTTGTTAAAAAACAGTTGTGTTTTTTCCCATTTTCGGCGCCGTTAGAAATGAACAAGGTATTTTTTATGTAGTCCTGTGAAGTTTTGTTGAAATCGGCTAAAAAATGTAGGAAATCCGATCCAATATATAAACGTTACAGACACACACACACACACAATCTGCGTTTTATAATAAGTAAGATTCAAGTACCGATAATGTTAAACAACATTTTGGCGATTTAATGACAAAAATAGAAGAATTGTCCGTCTTTGAATCTTTGATACTATATAAACTCTACAGAGTAATCGTTCATCATATAACGATTTCTTGACACATGCATGGCTTGGATTTCCGCTTTTTCTACTTAACAACCAAAAGTTGTTTTTTTTATTCAAAGCACATCAAGCAAGGTGATAATGCCACTAAGACGCAAAAGTCTCTTGGGAGTGGAAATGACTTTAGAAGGAATGAGAAACGCAATCCTAAACAGTAATCAAGGTAAAAACCTCTACGTCTTTTCAAAAGACCAGGGAGGAACATGAACTGGAATTAAAAGATGTTTAAAAAATATAATAATGCAAGCAACTGATTTTGTTTTTATCAATTCACCCCAAGCAATGCGGTAATATCACTAAGACGCAAAGGACTACTGGGAGTGAACGAGAATGAAAAATATACTAGAAGGAACCGGAAACCCAATCTTAAACGGGAAAGAAGGAATAAATTTCTACTCCTGTTCAAAAGATCGGGAAGGAGTTTCAACGCGATTATAAGTGAATCTATCTATTCGTATTTTAGGAGGAAAAATAGATGATAAATAAAATTTAGTTAAGGCTACAGAGGTGAAGTAGGCTTTAGAATAAACCAGAAACACAATGCTAAACAGGAAACAAGGGATATAACTCTATACCTGTTCAAAACCCCGATGAAGTGTGTGAACCGGACGATAAGCGGATCTATCTATTCCTATTGAGGCGACAGCAAAAAATAAATAGTAACTAAAATTTTAGAATTTAGGTGCAGACATTAGAATTATAGAGTTGAATTGCACTTTAAAAGGAACCGGAAATCCAGTCTTAAACAGGAAACGAGGAATAAACATCTACTGTTCAAAAGACGAGGCGGAGAGTGAACCCGACGATAGGGGAACCTATCTATTTCAATTGTATTTATAGACGTAAAATATAAAATTAACAAAACGGGGTGATGCTTCAAACAAGAGCATCAAGAGATTTTTTATTTCGATGTTTGCAAACTTATAATAATATACTAGTTTTTACATAATATTCATTTCGTATTAGGTAAGAGAGGGAAGATAACACTCGATTTTGATCTAACGGCATCGTTAAAGATGATTGA